CTCTTCCGATCTCCCCAAAACCCCAAAACCCCTTGAATCAAAAATTCTCCAATTCTTTAAAGTCCTTAATAAATAAATTGATATTTATCTATATGAAATGATATAAAAAGGTTTTTAAAATTGATAGTTCTATATGTCTTTCTTTTTATAGACTGATTCCCAATTCAAATGATTTGCTTCCTTACAAGTCTCAAGCAATGTTAGACACTTAGGAGGAGTAGTTTAATCTCTGACTAATTAGAGTGCTCTATCTTCTTACTATCTGAGATTCATTATTATTAGTTGGAGATACGTAATCATAAACTGGCAGGCCAGGATAATAAGAAAGTTTCTCAAGACTTTTAGCACTCCTTCTATTTGATTTAGTCTAATCTGACTTTTGACTAGCCAATTCAGGTCCTTGCTCTCCGACCCCAACAATTTAAAACCCATACATTGAATCGTAATTTATCGGCGACTACTGAACTGGAATTCCTGATACAACAGGGCATTGACTCTCTACATCCTAACCTTATTGTGACCCTTATCTCTATCTCTGCGCTTAGGATGATCGATCAGTATGGACTCTTGTTTAATCTAATATAAGATTGTCTCTATATTATCTGACTAACAATGTGAAGTACATATCAATTACACAATACGCAAATATTTATGCAACTCCTATTATGATTTGAAAAGCTATATAGCCAGAATTTTCTTTATCATCATTATCGTCTTTGGAGTTTTATGTGCTATTTTTATTTCCACTAAACCTAATAGAAATAGTACCGATCATGTCTAAAGAATAAATTAGTAAGTCAATTAATGAGATAAGCAGCTGTAGGAAAAATGAAATAATCCTGACTTTAAAATATTAATCTCTCTTGATTAATATATCTGTACTAATTCGCATTCTAAAGTAAAATACTGCTCTAGGAAGTCGAATGAGAAGAAAGGATGGAATTATAGTAAATAGATAGGTTCCTGTGTAGTATGATTATCCGCGTGGACTGTTGCCTATTAAACTTAGAATAACTACCATCATTGCTCCAATTAGAGCAATAACATCTAATACACCAATAATGTTAACAGCTGCTTAAATAGGTATACAGCAGCAGCAAACTTTGAAAAGCTTTTTTGGAATGATTTATTAAGAGTTCTATGACATTTGATTATAAATTTATTGATAATTTTTCTCAATCTTATAATTTATCCATTTTCTCAAATTAAAAGCTTTTTATTGTCGCGGGGTTTTGGGGTTTTGGGGTTTTGGGG